TGAAAAACTCCAGATTAAAGCTCACTATATTTTGAGGATGGACTTTCTGTGAAGAACCAGAATCACTTGAGTTAACTAAATATGTTCGACTATCATGGTGTAACTTTTCGGGCAGGTGGCCTGCACAAGCCAGTTCATTTTCTTTATTTGCCATGTCACAGCCCCCACTTCTAGAGGACTGTTTTCTCTCTCTCTCTCTCTCTCTTCTTTATGGAGAGATTTTTTGCTATAAGATGGTGCGCTCACCAAAAAGACAGGGAGAGACAGAGAGACAGAAAGAGAGAAATCACTCCCCAGGGGGGATGGCCATGCTGCAATCCCTTCTCCTCCATTCTCCTCTCGGGATCTTGAGCACGCATGCACATGTGCCCAGCGTGAGTTTAAGCCACCGGGTTTGGGACTGGAACTGCGATCGACCACATGGGAGTCCAGCAACATAGCCATTAAGCCAACTGCTGGTCCCAAGGGGACTGTTTTTTTTCTGTAACAAGGATTTGGAAAGGGATGATGAACTTACTTTCTGCGATAGATCACCTTACGCAGTTTATCAGGGCTTCTCACAGCTTGTCCGACTGTTCTATTTATGTAAGCAGCCCACTGTCTGGGAGATTTCTCGACCTCCTTCAAGTCTTATTAGTGAAATTAGAGATCCTTTTTCTAGGAAGACATTGTGGGTTTCAGATACCATAGTCTCTTAAATGCCTGCACCTCGTGGTACCTCGGCCGCTCAGCCCAGCACTGGCGCTGACAAACCCCTCTGGGCAGCCCCATTCTCCCTCGGGACACTCTTCTCTGGCGGTTATCCCATGATGCCCTGAGATAAGATTAAATGTCATCTGGGATACTTACATAAATGCACTGTGGTCAGAGCCGGTGCACATAGGCTTCCAAACCAAGGAGAAATGGGGCAGATAATCTTACCGAGCAAGGGACACGCCCATCCTGTTTCCGGGTAGACAGAGGCATTTCCATCACTCCCTGTGGGTAATCGGAGCTGACAAGGGCCCGTGCACAGCAGATGAGGTTACTCCCAGCGGGAAGCTTCCCAGAAATGGTCCTGGGGTTTGCAGGACTGTCACAGGTGATCACCTGCTAGAGAGGGACTACCCTAGACGGTACGTCCTGCAAAGCGGGCTCACGGTGGACACGGAGTCCTGCTGAGAGAAGATGTCTTGTGAACAGAAGGTTCTGGACAAAGAACGGGGGAGAATCTGGAGGGTAGGGATTTGCCAATGGCTTTTTTTTGTTTTCTCACTTGTTACTCCTAGACGCAGGTCCATCTGCTAACAGAAATAGACCTTGAATGGAGAATGCAAGTTCTTCCATTGAGCTGAAGGAGTGCGTAGCCTGAAAGGTTTGGCCACTTGCTGGTAGCCTTGGCATCAGAGTCTTAGGTTCCTTATCTGCAAAAATGGGGATAGCATGTTCATATTTAGTTCTCACTTAAAAGGAAACACAAGATTGGGACCAGCAGATGGCATAATGGTTATGTCCCTGGACTCCCACATAGTTGACCACGGTTCAATTCCAGGACCCGACAGCTTAAAAATCACGCCAGTCATGTGTGTGTGTGCCCAAAATCCTGAGAGGAGAATGGAGAAGGGATTGCAGCGTGGCCATCACACCTGGGGGGTGGGGGGTGAGTTCTCGCTTTCTATGTCTCTGTCTCTCCAGCAAACGCATATACCCTATAGTAAAAATCCCTCTTAAAAAAAAATAAAGGAAAAACCCCACAAGATTGATTTGTAGTACATTTAATAAATAACTACTGAACAAAATTGAGGTTTAAGGAACAACCATTGCTAAGAATGTACCCTAAAGACATGATCAGAAATGTGAGAATGGGACCAGCAAGTGTTGTGAAGGTTAAGGTGCTGGATACTCCACATGGCTAACCGCGGTTCGAGTCCCGGACCTGATGGCTTCCTTTCTCACTTTCTCTCTCTCTGTCACTTTCTGGTCAAATTAAAACAATTGAATGAATAAATAAATAGTTAAATATATTTTTTTAAAGTGAGAACAAATATTCATGCACAAAGATGTTCATTGCATAATTAAAATATTAAAAATATGTTCAATGAGAGGGGTTGCCAAATTCCCCCCCCCAGAAAAAAAACCTAAATGTTGAGATTTTAAATACTGTTTAAAGATATAGTCTGATCTCAAATAGGTAATACATGCTGGGGGAAGAGGGTATAGGGACCACGGAGCTATAGGAAATATATAAAAGATGTTGGCTAAAATACTACAGGTATTGAGGTAGGCTAATTTTATTTTCTTCTTGGCTTTTCTTTAGGCTTTTTGCTACTTCCCCCCACTTTCTGCCATTTTCTCCTGTTGCTCAAACTGTGCTCACCTGGGTACCCCTGGTCTGGGGCCAGGGCTCCTGAGTGGCCTCACCCAGTAGGACAGGGATGCTCTGGGCCATGGTGTCATTTCTGGCTAGAGTCGTGTAAATGACAGACACTCCTGCGGAAGTCAATGGCTCTGATTTTTTATTTGGAGAGTGGAGGTCTTAACTCTGGCGTTAGTAAGCTCCTGTAAGTGACCCTGGCCCAACATCCCACCGCAGCCACCAGCACCACCGGCCTTTCTCCAAACACACTTGGAGTAGAAAACCAAGAACGTCCTCCTCCTTGTTTTTGGCGTGATCATTGCCGCCCCATTTCTGTTATGGGAAGGTCCAGTTTTCCTTGGCAGTCACCTACACGTGGACAGTGCCCCTTCCTCTTCCTCTGCCCAACTAGCACCCGAGCCTGTCTCTCCGACCCTTCCTGGATAGAGGTGGGGCCCCAGGCCCGTCCGTCAGTGCGCTGTCCACCTCAGGCTAAAGGGGTGTGGGGCAGGGACCCTTGTCTCTCTGCCTCCCCTCACACAGGATGGATTAGGGCACTTCATGTGAGCACTGATTCCTGAGCTCCAGGTCTCTGACTTTCAGAACTACCTTAGTCCTGGGGCTAGCGTGTGGTGTACTGGCTAAGGTGCCAAACTCCCATACGGCAGACTGCGGTTCAAGTCCCAGATGTGGAGGCTTGAAAATCATGGCAAGCACATGTGCATGTGCCCAAATCCTGAGAGGAGAATGGAGAAGAGGGGATTGTGGCATGGCCATCCCCCCTGGGGGTGATTTCTCTCCGTCTCTCTGGCAAGTGCATGCATCCCATGGCAAAACCCTAAAAAATCTACCTTAGTCCCAATTCAGATCAAGTCAGTCATTTACTCGTTGATTCCAAAATGTCTGTGTGGGGGCCGGCAGGTGACATGGTGATTAAAGGTGCTGGACTCCCACATGGGCAAACGTGGTTCGAGTCTCAGACCTGGCGGCTTGCTTTCTCACTTTCCCTCTCTCTTTCTCTGTCTCTCTCTGATCAAACTGGAAAATAATAATAGTAAATAAAGTTAAATCAAATAATTATTTTTTTAAATGTCGATGGGACCCCAGCTCCAAGCATAAGTGGCACTATACTTCGCATAAAGGAGAGGCAGCGATGTAAACCCTCCCTTTCTCCAGGAGCGTGTGCTGTAGCTGAGAGTGAGATGTTACGTGGCAGTGATGATGGCGGGGTAAGCCCCAGGCTGTGCAGAACAGGCAGTAGGTGCCGTGGACATTAGGAGGGAAGGGAGAGGACTCTGTGGTTCCAGGGGTCCAAAGAGGAGGGCTTCCTGGAGGACAGGCCCCTGGAACTGCGTCTTAGAGGACAGGTAGGTATGGAGGACCCTAGAGAATGGGGAACGATCCCTGGTGGAGAACAGCCCGAGCCACAGTGCAGCGGCCACCTGGACTGCAAGGAAGCGGGAGAGCCCTGGGTTAGTGTGGGTGGAGGGCCCTGACTGGGGTTCACACGTGGCTGAGAGGGACCACAGCAGCCTCCACACCCCATGCAGGACAACACCATCGACTTCCTGGAGTACGTGGCAGCCCTGAACCTCGTGCTGAGGGGCACCCTGGAGCACAAGCTGAAGTGGACTTTCAAGATCTACGACAAGGACGGCAACGGCTGCATCAACCGCACAGAGCTCCTGGAAATCGTGGAGGTCAGTGTCTGCCCGGGGCTGGCAGCCCAGGTGCCCGAGCACCGCTGGGGCTCGGAGCGTGGCTGCAGGCGGCCAGCTAGGCTTAGGGAAGAGGAAGAAGCATGGAAACCATTTGGAGTGTATTTTCTTCTGCCTTTTTTCTTTTTCTTTTTATCCATGATAGCCCATGCACACATATGTGTGAGAGGGAGGGAGTGCCCTTCCACGGGGCCCAGTCATGGTGTAAGCTTCTTCCCTCTAAGTCTGTCCTGTCAGGATCCTGGGCACACGTGAGCCCAGCATGAAGCCAACAGAGTTGGGATCTGAACCCTGGTGCAGCGCCCAACCTCGACACCACAGGGCTGAGCCTGGAGCGTGTTTTGTGACCACAGCGGCATCAAGCCAGACCAATTACAAAAGACAGCTAGGAACCCCCAGTAGGGAGCCCCCTGTTCCCCATTTGGAAATAAGGTAATGTACTTATTTATTTATTTATTTATTTATTTTGAGAGAGGTTTTCGCTATAGGGCACAAACGCTCGCTAGACAGAGAGACAGAAAGCGAAAAATCACCCCCCAGGGGGGATGGTCACGCCGCAATCCCTTCTCCTCTCGGAATCTTGGACACACACGCACACATGCCCGGCGTGAGTTTTAAGCCACCAGGTCCGGGACGTGAACCGCGGTCGACTACGTGGGAGTCCAGCGACATAGCCATTACACTAACTGCTGGTTCCCTAGGTAATGTACTTTCAACACTCCATCAATCAAAAAAATCAGAACCCCCCAGCACACAGAAGCTTTTGAACTGAACAATAATGCAAGCATATCATACCCAAACTTGAAGAATGAAGTGGAAACTGAGCTTGCGGAGAAATGTCTAGCCTTAAAATGTGTATACAGTAATCCCTGTGGGGGTACTTTTGCAGACCCGCCGTGGATCCCTAAATGCTCAGTTATGCTGAACTGAACCTCACACATACTACGTTTTTTCCTGTAGATACATACTGTGATGACATTTCAGTTATAAATTAGGGACAGTGAGAGACCAGCAATACCGATAATAAGATGGACAACATTCTACTGTAATGAGAGCTGTGTGAATGTGGTCTTCTCTCTCTCAGCATATCTTACTATGCTGTACATTGTGGAGGTGACACCAGGGATAAGGAAGGTTAGATTTAAAAATAGAAAGGCTGAGAATTATAATCTAAAAGACCATCTCAAGAAATTTTTAAAAAAAAGAAAAAAAAAGAGTAGGGCCAGCCAATGGCCTGGTGGCTAAAGCAGCTGGATCCCACATGGCCAACTGAGCGGATGGAGTCCTGGACTTGGTAGCTTAAAACACATGCTGGGTGCATGTGCATGAGTGCCCAAAATCCCAAAAGGAAGGGGAAATGGAGGAGAAGGAATTACGGGATGACTGATCCCCACAGGGGGAGCTTTCTCACTTCCCCTCTCACCCTCTCTCTCCAGTGAGCATGAGCCCTCTGACCAAAAAAAGGGTAGATTAAACCCAAAGATAGTAGAATAAAGGAAATAAACAGCAGAAGTTAATAAAATATTGAGTCGTCAGAGAAGTCATGATGCATTTTTGCACTGAAAAAAAAATACGTCATGATTTTTCTGACCATCCAGTAGAAAACAAAAGTGCTCAAGGAAAAAACATCAAAAAGACACAAAGGTGTTTGTTTGTTTGTTTGTTTGTTTGTTTTTAACAGGTTAAAAAAATTGATAGCAAGAATATTGAAAAAAAAAAAAAAGTACCTAGTGTATCCCAGACTCAGATGTGTTACCCCTGCCAGCCTGTTAATCCCCAGAACGACACCATTTTCCAGAGAAGGACATTTCTCCTGCGTTCTGTGGTCTGCCCAGGTCCCCGTGCCCAGGCAGTGCTGGATCTGGGTTTACCCACTGGGGCTCCTTGAGCACCTGAGGCCTGCTTTGTGCCAGGCTGGGCGGGCAGTGAGGCCCCGGAGACCAGCGAGCCACAGCCTCTGTCCTCAGAGAGCACCGAGTGGGAGCTGAGAGCCCTTGCTTCTGCCTGTCTCTCCACCTTTACACGTTGCTTTGCTCAACGTGGCTGCACTGGGAGAGGGGAGAAGGCCAAGGAGAAGCCTGGATCCTCCAAACGCTGGCTCTCGTTCTGTTTAATCATTTGGACACGCAGACAGACATATACGCAGCTCTCTTCTCTTCTAGAATCCGCTTCCTCTCCTAAAGAATGGGGTTGAGGTGGTCACAGTGCTTGAACGCCCCTCATGAGAGACTCCAGGCTTCAGCTCTGCACTCACAGTGGAAATGCCGGACGGTTGGGGTGGGGGCACCAAGTGAGGCCAAGACTCCTCAGTTGGAAGGAGGCCAACGAGACGGCGTACAACCCTGGGGCAGGACGGGCTTTATCTGGGCCTGGACCGTGTGGTCCTAAGCTGCTCAGCCTGGGGAGGGAGGCCGAGGGACGTGGGTCACCGGGGCAGGTGGAGCTTGTGGGTGACCTGTCGGCACCGCTGCGTCTTCTCCGGCAGGCGATTTACAGCCTGAAGAAAGCCTGCCGGGTGGAAGTGGAGGCAGACCAGCCGGGCCAGATGCTCACGCCCGAGGAGGTGGTGGACAGGATCTTCCTCCTGGTGGATGAGAACGGAGACGGTAAGAGGGACAGAGATGGTCAGGGAGGGCTGCCACTTCACAGCACCCCCACTTGCTGGCCCTGTCTCCTCCAGCAAGGCCCTATCCCTCCCGTCTGTGAGATGGCCATGGGGGACGGCGGGAAAGCCACCGGCATTATGGGCATGCCGTGTCGGCGGGGTGAGTCGGACTCCCGCAGGACTTGCAGGTGGGGCCAGGGCAGCAGGGCAGAGGGTAAGAATTGTGGGGTCAGGCGAGCTGGCACGGTACATGGAACGTCTCAGCCTGGGCTCGATTTCCTCCCCTGGAAAATGGGGGTAACACGTGTTTAAGAGGCAGGCACAGGGCGGGTCTCCACAGGAGCTGCCTGGCTCTACTCCCTGTGGCTCGGCATCCGAGCCCAGGACCATGCGGTGGGCACAGAAGAGCCCGCCGGGAGCCCTCAGCTCTACTCCAAGGGGCAAGAGTCAAACTTCAATTCACCTGCAAAGACAGGCTCTTCAAGGCTCCAGGAAGCTCGGAATGGGCAAGCCACAGCTTGGGACTGAGTCTGCAGCCTGGTGTGTGTAGACAGTGCAGACGCATTCGAGGAGCGTGGGTGTCTCCTGCCCTGACCCCAGGTCCCGCCTTCTCCCGTGTGACCCTCTCCTCCCCCGCGCAGGCCAGCTCTCTCTGAACGAGTTCGTCGAGGGTGCCCGTCGTGACAAGTGGGTGATGAAGATGCTGCAGATGGACGTGAACCCCAGCAGCTGGATCTCGCAGCAGAGGCGGCAGAGTGCCATGTTCTGAGGGGCTGTGCCCCTGGCAGCCCTGGAGAAGTCACAGTCCCCACCCCAGGACTCCAGGCTCACCAGGGTCTTCGGAATCGTGGAGGGTCCCGGCTCAGCCTGCGTGTGTCCGTTCTTACCCTGGCATGGGCTTCCTGGCTCCTCCCATGCAGCGGGACAGGCAGGGACTGAAGGGTCTAAGTGACCGAGAGCACAGCGCGGTGTGGAGAATGTGCAGGGGTTGGGGGGGAGCACAGTTACTCTCCCCTCCACGGCTCCTGCGACCACTGTACCTTGGCCGGCGGCTCTGAGGCTCCTGCAGACTGCTATGCATTCTCTCTTGGAATCAGGGGCCTCCTGAGGGCGGGGGGTCCCAAGGACCAAATCAGCACTGAGAGCACCCACGCTTACGGGGCGCGGAGCAAAGACCGGTTGAAAGTGGCTGGAAAGGGGCATGTGGGGGTGCAGAGCCAGTGATAACCGCACCCCCCGGATTCTGAGGCGTGTTGGCAGCAAAGACCCTGGCCTCCTCCTCTCTAAGACGTCCTTGTCCTCACCGGGGTTGTCACACAGCAATCTGCAGCAAGTAAGGGAGCAGGTCCCCTCAGAGGGGTCTGCTGTGCTCAAAGGGGCAGCTTCAACTCCACCCAGAGCGGCTCCCAGCCCCTGCTGCCAACCTGGCCGCCTCTGACCACCGCCCCTACCCCGGTACTCCAACTCCACCCTCACCCCAGCCATGAGCGAATGCGTCTCCTTAAAGGACAGAGGGAAGCTTCTCTGTCCCTGGGGGCCTGCTGCCCAGAGTCTGTGCCAGGCTTTGCCTTTGTGTGACCCAGAAAGGCCACTTCTCTCCCCTACCCATGGTGAGCAGGCTGCACGAGCAGTTGGGGATTCTTTTTTCAGATGTGGAATTCTTTTTCACTATGCAGACACTTCTGTGCAACCCCAGTACAGAAGCTAGGTTAGAAGGGAGCCACTCCGGATGAAGCGGGGCTGAGGATCTCAGACCCTTGCCCCCTGCCCCGGAGTTGGAGGCACCTTTGAGAACATCGTGTGAAATCGCATGCCCTGGATCGGTGTACCCCGCGAGACCATTTATAGTGGGACCTGGAGAAGCACTTGCTTGCCCTTGAGTAGATATGTTTTCATGTTGATGCATGACAAATAAAAGTAACCTACTGAACCCACAATTTCATAGATATATTTCATAGAACGTTCCCTTCAGAAATCAATTTTAGGGCTGGCCCTGTGGCCTAGCGGTTCAAGGAGTCAGATCCCACGTGACTGACCGAATCCTGGCCCCGGGGGCTTGAAAAACACACTGGGTACATGCGCCCCAAATCCCAACAGGATGTGAAATGAGAAGGGCCACGCCCCACGGGGTGGGTGATTTCTCCCTCTTCTACTTCTCTCTCTCTCTGTCTCTCTCTCTGGTGAGTGTACATGTCCTCTAACAGTAGGGAGAGTTTTGCTACAGGGCACATGTGCTTGCCAGAGAGACAGAGAGAGAAAGTGAGACAGAAAGCAAGAAATCAACCCCCCCCCCCCAGGGGATGGCCATACCACAATCCCTTCTTCTCCATTCTCCTCTTGGGGTCTTGGGCATGCACGCACACGTGCCTAGTTTGAGTTTAAGCCACTGGGTCTGGGAATTGAACCGTGGTTGACTATGTGGGAACCTAGTGACATAATTGTTAGTCATCTGCTGATCCCATAGAAATGAATTTTATGTAAATAATAATGGTTGATTAAAAGGTATCGCACATGGCATGTACCACACATACCCTGAGCAACGCAGGCAGTACATGAACGAGGTCAGAGGGTGTCCTCAGGCAGACGCTCTCCCAGCTCTGACCTTCAGGATTCCCCAAGAGGCAGGAAAGGCGCAGCTCTGCCCACTCCCAGGCCACCCTAGCACTGTGCTCTCCCTCCCTTCCCCAGTGTCTGTGGCTTAGGCCCTGGCAGCCTTCCCATCTGGGGGTGGTCCAAGGAATGGACAGGACAGGGTATGGGCAAAATGCTCCCTCTCACCCTGAGTAGGGGCTCTCCGACTCTCTGCTCTGGCATTTTTCTCCTCGTTCCCTTGTTCTCTCCCTCCCCCAGATTTCAACCTACTCCCCATGCTCAGCTGTATCAGAGAAGACTTGAAGCCCGGAGGAGAGTATCTTTGGAAACAGGGTCACAACTGCTCCATCTCTGTCTCCCCATGTTCCCATGGCAACCAGGCAGCTCTACCTCCGGGGCAGAGCTAATAGCATTGTCCTTGGATGGGGTGATCTCTGGAATCAATCTTCGGGCTGACCCTGTGGCCTAGAGGTTAAGGGAGCCACATCCCACATGGCTCTGAGTTGTTGTTAGGGCATGTGCACTCACCGAAGGAGAGAGACAGAGAGGGAAAGTGAGAAACGAGCCCCTATGGGGAGGGCGTGGCCATGCCACAGTCCCCTCTCCTCCTCTCAGGATTCTGGGCACATGTGTCCACTGTACTTCTCAGGTCACCAGGTCTGGGACTTGAACTGTGCAGTTGGCCATGTGTGATTCTGTTGGCTTAAGCACCATGCCACTGGCTGGCTGGGAATTGGGTATTCTTTTTTTCTTTTGGAGAGGTTTTTGCCATAGGGTGCGTGTGCTCGCCAGACAGACAGAGAGAGAGACAGAGAGAAAGCAAGAAATCACCCTCCAGGGGGGATGGCCGCGCTGCAATCCCTTCTTCTCCATTCTCCTCTCGGGATCTTGGGCACGCACACACATGCACCTGGCATGAGTTTTAAGCCACCAGGTCCAGGACTCGAACCGTGGTCAACTACATGGGAGTCCAGTGACATAGCCATTATGCTAACTGTGGTCCCGGGAATTGGGTATTCTTTTTTTTTTGGAGAGCTTTTTTTGCTATAGGGCGCGTGCACTTGCCAGACAGACAGAGAGAGACAGAGAGACAGAAAGCAAGAAATCACCCCCCAGGGGGGATGGCCACGCCGCAATCCCTTCTCCTCCATTTTCCTCTCGGGACCTTGGGCACACACGCACACGCGCCCGGCGTGAGTTTTAAGTCACCGGGTCCGGGACGTGAACCGCGGTCGACTACGTGGGAGTCCAGCGACATAGCCATTACGCTAACTGCTGGTCCCGGAATTGGGTATTCTTAAAGTTGGATTGTGCAAAGAATGGGGATAAGACCCATTTGTGATAGCCTGCCCCACTTCCCAGCTGGGGTCAGGGGTCACTGTAACCAGTGCTGTCTGGGTTAGACCAAGGACGCCAGGTCTGCTGCGGCAAGCAGTGCGTCAGAGCTTGGGAACCACGTGGTTCCACCTACCGCCAAGCAGGGAGGTGTGAGGGACTCGTGCTGTTTCTTCAGAAAAACCATGAATTTCCTCTGGAGAAACGAGGACTTTCTACAGTGCCACCCGCCTTCTTCCACTTTTCGGCTAACGCTGAACTAGATCCTGAAGTATCTGAACACACACCCACGTGGCCAGTCACTCAGGATTCAGATCTGCACTGCCGTCCAACCCTTCCCCCTGTCTCCTGGGCAGGACTGTGAATGTCTTTTTTTTTTTGAGAGGATTTTTGCTATAGGGCACGTGCACTCGCCAGACAGACAGAGAGAGACAGAGAGACAGAAAGCGAGAAATCACCCCTCAGGGGGGATGGCCACGCTGCAATCCCTTCTCCTCCATTCTCCTCTCGGGATCTTGGGCACGCACACACACACGCCCGGCGTGAGTTTTAAGCCACCGGGTCTAAGATGCGAACCACGGTCGACTACGTGGGAGTCCAGCGACATAGCCATTACGCTAACTGCTGGTCCTAGGACTGTGAATGTCTTGAAAGATGGCTCTTTTCCCTTACTCAGGCACCTAGAAGATGGTCTCTGAAAAGGGACACAAACACCCTTATTGGTAAAATCTAAATCCTAAGGCACACCCCCAATTTACATCTGAGAACACCCCTGTCCACATCACCCCTCAAAGAATGTACCTCCTCCCACCCCACCCCACCCTGCCACGGGCATCACGTTCCCCGTTTTCACGGCACAAAGATCACCCCTGCGACGGTTTCCGAGTCAGAGCCCAGCAGTCTCGTACAAGAACGTGCTCATAAATGCTTAGGATGTTTTATTATGATGACGCTTGTCTGTTTCTCCCCGCGACCCGCGGGCTCCCTGAGGAAGAGCTGTCTTTTCGTGTGTCTAACATCTAGCGTGGATACACAGTAGGTGCTCAGTAAATGCCCGAAGGGAGGACAGAGTCAGTGCAGACCACACAGACTCCAGGTGCTGGGGCAGGATGGGCGGGCCACTGCAGCCTGGACGGTGGCTGTGGGCCCGGGCTCTGTAGGGGCCCATCAGAGACCTGAGGAAGCCCAGCTCTGCCTCAGAGCCCCCACATCTAGAGCAGGAACTGGCTGGCTCAGTGGGGAGAGCCGGGAAATGCCGTGAGAAGCCTGAGGGCAGAGGCATGCAAAACGGTGCCCGACAGGAAGGGCCAGCACCAGCCGAGTCACCCAGAGGGCCCAGGAACCATCTTTCACTGCCCTGGGCTCCGGGCTCCCCCTGCCCCTCAGCTGCCAGCGTGGCCCTGGAAGAGGTGAGCTGAGGTTCTGAGTCCAGCAGGTTCTACCTAGCCGTAAGACAAGAAGAATGACCCCAGGCACCACCACACCGGCCCACCCATGCAGAGCAGCGGGGTGGTGGGCTCAGCCGGCAGCCTTCGCTGTCCCTTCTCCAGCCTCCTCCTCCTCCTCGTCCTCTCCATTCTGGAGCCTGCGCACAATGCGGGTCAGGTCCAGGCTTCGGGTCAGCGTGTCCAGGAGCACCTGGTCCTTCTGGATGCCCTCCATGAACTCCTCCAGGGACAGCTCCCCTGGAGAGGGAAGGGAGCCATGAGGTGGAGGGGCTACA